CACGCACACACACAGCTTCCGGTAGGGACTTTCTAAATAAAGCTGAGCGGAATGACAGCAGAGGAAAGAAAACACAGCTCTTTATTCACAACATATGCAAACATACCATAATAAAGATTAATAATAAAGCTTTATTTGTATAGCACATAATAGAACAGTACAAGGGACACAGGGAAGTAAAAGGTGTGATAAGAATAATAAAATACAATAAAATTAATAATGATCCCTCTGGATAAAAAAAAGGAAGACATAAGACAAAATGTATAAATACAAAACAATATTGAAACCTATGAAATAGAAAAATAAAAATCATAATAATAATAATAGCTAGAAGAATAACTAATAAGAAAACGTTTGTTATTATAATAATAATAATAATTAAAATGTGTACAGTCTTAGCATACTTAATTTTTCTTTTTTGCTGCACTGAATGGCTATTAATGTCATTGTATTTGTTTATCCACATTGGAAACTATAGAGAAAAGGAGAGAATGAAGTGTCAGTTCTGCTGCCAGCGTATGATCTGTGAACATTAAAGGACATGTTGGTGTGCATCTATTCTATTAGATCGTTAGGATCATGTACAATTCTGATTGTACAAATACTGCCAGGTCCATTAATTTCAAATATTACAAATATTTGGTTAATATATGTCATTACAAAACAGATGTGTACAGGTTATCTGCAGGATTGGGAGAGTTCCTTTACAAATATATCCTGTTGCAATCACTAGTTACCTGTACAAACAAAAATCAGTAACCTAATCTGAGCATCAAAATATAAAAGTAATGTAACCTGATTACTTTCTTTAATTTATGGACTACCTCAATATCAAATGCAAATAAATAAAAGAGAATAATTAGACAACTCACTGTTTTAATCTGAAGTCAAAACACCGGTTTTACATGGGCTAAATTGTGTATCTTGCTCAGTGCAGAGGTATTCAAATACACCAATTGTGTGTCAATAATTTCGTCACAATTCATTGGATTTGTCCCTGAGGGTCAATTCATTTGAAAAACAAGCCTCCACACAGTACAACATTGTACAGCATTGTGCTACATGAAACATTTCAATATGTAGTTTTATTATACATATTGAATATAGTATAGGTAGGCCAACAACACATGACTGTGGCTGGCTACTATACTCTTAAATAGAGTGCCACAGTCCTAAAACCTGGAAGTAAGCTGCACATGGGTTCCTTCGACAAAAAAGCAATGCAATTTCTCCATAGGATTTTGGAAAATATCTAATCGATAGATTTATGATCGAAAATGATAAAAGTAGGGTAGACATGTGGAGATTATCCGACTGAACAAAACGTGATCCGTCTCTTGTGTCAACCACAGACCTTATTTCGAGCTATTTTCCAAAATCCATGGAGAAATTGCATTGCTTTTTTGTCGAAGGAACAAACCCATGCGCAGCTTAATTCCGGGTTTTAGGATGCGTCACTGTGGCACTCAAACTATGCAAACTATAGTATATACAAGTACACAGCAGCCTGTGGTGTATTGAGGTTTAGTGATGAACGGTGGGTCAGAGGGCTCCAGCCTGCATACAGCAGGGCCAGATGTCTGCCCCCCTCCTGGGAGAACTGAGTCCAGCATGAGAGTCACTGATGATGACTGACAGTGATGAGGCCCAGCTGAGAGGACCACCATAGGCTGTACCATAGGGCTGTACCCGGGGTGAGCTCAGTCTCTCGGGGCTGTGTCTTCCTACATCATCCTGCCACCTGCTGGTCCCATCAACCCATCACCATATCTTGGTCACTAACAACATTCTCTGCATGATTTAGTTTATTGTATTTTGTTGTTGTTGTGACATGTAGTTTAGTTGACTTCATCTGCATTGCTTGCACATTGGTGTGCAATATAATCTGCACTATTTTCATTCTACTCTTTCTTCTTGCACTCTTTTTATTTTTGAATCCGTTTTTTTGTTTCTTTTATGTCCTATATATTTTATGTTGCATTGTAGGAGGAGCTCGGGACATCACTTTTTAATTGCCGTATCTACACTGTAGCTACTCTGCATATGATGATAAAGCCTTTGAATCTTGAATTGAATCTTTAATACCATAGCAGCAAAAAAGTACCCGATGACTCAGGTGTTAGTGATACAAAGTGTTTTAACAGTAAAGATACTAAGACAAGGTGGACCTTTATTGATCCCTGTAGGGACATTCAGGTGTTATAGCAGTAATAGAAAAAGAGAGAAACACAGGTAGTACACATGAGAATAAACACAGGGATATAAAGAATACAATTTATGAAGCAAAAAATAATTAGCATGCATTAAAAGAGCGAATAGAAATAACAAAAGCTGAAAGAACATATACAGATGTCTTAAGCTGATGTAAATGGACAGTCTGATTGTACAAATACAGCCTGTTGCGTGAGACATTATATTCAGCAGAAGTCTCCACGTTTGCAGTCAACCAAAGTACTTTGTAAGCCTCATCTTACTAGTTGTAAGGGACAGAAAAAACACACAACCACATCGCACTGAGTTTGGCCTGGAGAACTGACCGTTTATTGCATCTGCGCATGCTCATTAGCATCACCACGTTTCAGGCACATTCTGATGATGTCATACACATGACTTTGTTATTATACAAATATGCGTAACACTCCCACTCAAAGACATGTTGATAACTCTCTACCGTGGTACACAGAATCCAAATAAACAAAAAAAAACTTCTCTAGCAGTGTTCAATTTGTACACCTGCAATTCACATTACTCCAAACAAATACCCTTTGAACTTGTCAAATGTAGCCTTTGTCAACGGCTTGGTTAGGACATCAGCTATATCTGCAGTAGGACAATATGTAATAGATATCTTCCCCTCAGCATGTGCAGATCGTACAAAATGGTATTTGATGTCTCCATGCTTGCTTCTCTGTCTGGATACAGGGTTTTTGGATAGAGCTATTGCTCCCTGGTTGTCCTCATATATCTTCACTGGTACATGTGGGCTGTTACGGTCTACTCCTTTTAATAACTGTACAAGATACATGCTCTCTTGAGTAGGCTAGTAGCCGCCTAGAGTGACCAGACGTCCCCGTTTTCCGGGGACAGTCCCCGTTTGTATTGGCCTGTCCCCGGAAATGTCCCCGTTTTTTAATATACGTTAAAAACACATAGCAAGGTGAAATAAAACGTTTCATGTCAGGAAACACTGGGTAAACACAGACTGCGGTCAAGCCAGCCCCTACTTCGGAAAACACAGTCAAGCCAGCCCGCACGTTGAATTGCGGTGCGCGAATATCCTATGCATTACGGTAGAGGCCTGTAAAAACTGCCTTCAAAATAAAAGCGTTTACTCGGTCAATAACAAATATACCTAAAAAACACACCAAACATATTCATACTGGAGCTTAAATGAAGAAATATGTACTATATAATGTGATCAATAATAATGTAAAAACAAACTACGTATAACTACCACATTATAACTGAGTGAATGTAAAATGTAAGTATACAGTTATGAACAGAGTTGGGTGTAACGCGTTACTTTGTAACGCGTTACACCCAATAATAATAATTAATTAATTAATTAATTATCACACTGCAGTTACTAACATTGCCCCGACACGCGTTACTTCGTTACTTACTAAAACCAGTCATAATCAAACCTCAACAAACACCTGCAAAGAACACATGCTAAGGTGAAGCTAACGCACAGCTATTTGTTGTTTGTTTATATCAGTAGTCTGTTCTTCTTCTCTGTTTTCCGGTTGTTGGCTGTTTTGAATGACGAATACACACTACCGCCGCCTGCTGGTAAGGAGAGTTATTGCCACTCACGCATGCGCAGTTCGTACGTGCTCGGCTGAAGTATTGGCGGTGTGTTCCAGTGCAACACATGGCCAACACGCAGGAGAACACGCCGACGCAACAGCGTGAGCAGAGATAGACTGCACAAAATACAGATAGCAGGAGACAGAGGACAGCCATGCTCAGATAGGAAAACATTCAGGATCTGGATCAGTCTTATGCGACAATGGAAACTGAACTAAAGACTAAGAGAACATTTGAAACTTTAGCAGTCTGCGTGATCTGCCTGCAGGGAGGGGCGGGCCGGCCCTGCGAGTAAAGTAACGAGTAAAGTAACGAGTTACTTTATGTAGAGAGTAACGAAGTAGTGTAATATATTACTTTTTTTTAGTAACGACCCCATCTCTGGTTATGAAGACATATCTGATATTTCCACTGGGTGACTAATTTCAATTGATGTTGACACCATCTCACAACACTCCTAAAATAACATTACTTTCTGAAGCACAATTTAAAATATATGCCGTTTAAAATGTCAAATTAGATCTATTGTCCATCTATATTTTGATTATTATTTAATGGAAACCGTCCATAATTAAAGAGTCACTCGAAGTCAATCAAATACTTATTTCACTTCAGAGTGATAACAGGAGACCCCATCTAGTGTTATGGAAATATTTAGACCTAGTCAATACTGTGGAGATACACAAGTCAGAAATATCAAACAATAAATGGTGAAACAGACAGAGTTGTCTTTCGGGTTATTTATTTGAGGCCTCAAAGACACAGGTCTCACAGAACACAAGGTATCCTGAGAGAGTGCGCCCAGAGTAGAAAATGCATACAGGTTATATAGGATTTTGTCAGTTCAACAACATTCCGTCACTTATTAGGAGGGGCCCTGGCAGGAGAGATAAGCTTTCCAAAGGAACTGAAACTGTCAATCACTAATAGATTGAACCAGGGGCCTGTTCAGCAAGAGGGAAGTGAGGAAACTTGTCAGCAACAGATGGAGGGCTAAGAAATGGGGAACTTGATTATAAGACAGGGAAACTAAACAGGAACTTGCCCATTGCCCTGCGCTTGGTACCCAGCCCCCTCATCAAGTTCAGACCTTAGATGACCTTAAATGTCACTTTCCAGGGAGGCAAAGGACATGAACTAAAACACATCACCCAGACCTTACTTCGACATTTTTAAAGGTCATGAGTGTC